TGGACCATCAGGAAGTCCTGGTTTTTACATTTTTAAAAGATTGGGAAAGAATCACCAGGATAATAATATTTCATGACAGGTGAAAACTACAGAAATTTAAATTTCTGTGTCCTTCAAGTTTTGTTGGGACAAAGCCCTGCCCATTTATTTACGTAGTGCTCATGGCTGCTGCTTTCCCTATGCAGGCAGAACTGTGTAGTAGAGACATAGATGGGATGGCTGTTGGTGCAGAAAGTTCACTGAGCCTTGCGTTGTGATATTGGAGATAAAGGAGTTAATGATGCTGCCGCACCCGGTACAATGCACCCTACACTGAGCATTACTTACACTGAAGGAAGGAAGGAATGGATGCTGGGAATGGGCAAGATCACTTGGTCTCACATGGAGGTTTCAAACCTCTTGTTACCAGATCCAGGTTCCCCCCACTCCCTAGCTGGCTCAATGATAAAGAATCCACCTGCTAATGCAGAAGACACAGGAGACGTGTGTTCGACCCCTGGTTCGGGAAGATCCCCTGGAGTAGGAAATGGCAACCTCCTCCAGTATTCTTGCCTGGAAAGTTCCATGGACAGAGGAGCCTGGTGGGCTACAGTCCATAGGGTCACAGAGTCGGACACAACTGAGTCAGACCCACTCACCCCAGATCCAGGCTGCACCAACATCAAACCCTGAAGGGAGACATGGTGGTCATGGCCTCCAGAAGCCCATACACTTCTGGACAACGAGGGTTGTACCAGGGTGATGAGATTCTCGTGTCAGGAAACTGCTCCCTGGCCAGTCACCCAGGAACCCACCCACCCTTCTCAGGAATTCACCCCTCCCATCCTGGTGGGTGTCAATGCCACTCCTTATTCTCAAATGTCAGATTACCTAATGTCTCGGTCTGCTTGGGCTGCCTGAACAAAGTACCAGACCGGGTGGCTGCAACCACAGAAATGGATTTTTTCATAGTTTTGCGGCCGAGAATCCAAGATCAAGGTGCTGAAGGTTTGGTTTCTCCTGAGGCTTCTCTCCTAGGCCTGCAGACGGCCACTGTCTCCCTGTGTCCTCAGCCAGTCTTCCTTCCCTGGTGTCTCTCTCTCTTAGGATTTGAGCCCATCTGTATGACCTCACTTAACCTCAGTCACATCTTTAAAGGCCCTGACTGCAAATACAGTCACGTGCTGAGGTCCTAGCAGTTATGGTTTCTGAAACCGAGTCTACCTCAAAACTGAGAAAACTGAAACCGAGTTTTCCTGCCGAGTTTATGATTAACCTCACTTTCCAAAACTTTATTCTCTTTCTTGTCTGTTCCCCGTTCCCCTCAGGATTGAGGAGTATCTAAGAAAACTGGGGAATTGAAACTAAGCAGGACTCTCCGGGGTCCCCCTGGGAACAACGGTACCTCCACTGTCTCTTGTTTCTTGTTTGTAGAAAAAACTTTAGTCTCCTAGGCTTTCCCTGAGTTCCAAAGAGCAGATCCAGCAGTTAATGATTAGGACAATAAAGTCCCAGGACTCCTAGTTCCTCCTGAAGGGAGAGAGATAACGATCTGACCCAACTCTTTGAGTTGTTCTGCATAAACTCAGACCCCACCTAGTGGAGGATGGTGATGACATGCTGACCACAAGCACCAGACCCCAGATTGGTTGGAACCAGAAGGTTGGAGACTGAGATTCCCATTCATCACCCTATTGTCACACCACCAACCAATCAGAAGAAGGTCCATGATCAGCCATCCTACCCCCAACACTGTCTTTAGTGTCATGCATTCAAAAAACTAAGATCATGATATCCAGTCCCATCACTTCATGGCAAATAGAAGGGGAAAAAGTAGAATCAGTGACAGATTTTATTTTCCTGGGCTCCAAAATCACTGTGGATGGTGATTGCAGCCATGAAATTAAAAGATGTTTGCTTCTTGGAAGCAAAGACATGACAAACCTAGACAGTGTATTAAGGAGCAGAGACAAAACTTTGCCGACAAAGGTCCGTGTAGTCAAAGCTGTGGTTTTTCCAGTGGTTATGTACAGATGTGAGAGTTGAACCATATAGAAGGTAGAGCACCAAAGAATTGATGCCTTTGAATTGTGGTACTGGAGAAGACTCTTGAGGCTCCCTTGGACTGCAAGGAGGTCAATCCTAAAAGAAGTCAATCCTGAATATTCATTGGAAGGACTGATGCTGAACCCAAAGTTCCAGTACTTTGGCTACCTGATGGGAAGAGCTAACTCATTGGAAAAGACCCTGATGCTAGGAAAGGTTGAGGGCAGGAGAAGGACATGACAGAGGGTGAGATGTTTGGATGCTATCACTGACTCAATAAACATGAGTTTGAGCAAACTCTGGGAGATGGTGAAGGACAGGGAAGCCTGGTGCACTGCAGTCCTTGGTATTGCAAGAAGTCGGATGTGACTTAGTGACTGACCACCACCACCACCAGTGTTCTTAAAAACCCTTGCCGTCAGAGAGTTTGAGTCTTTTAATCATGAGCTGCCCATTCTCCTTGGTGCTCTGCAAATCTTCCTTTGCTCCAGAAACTCAGGTGCTTTGTTTTGTTTGGCCTCACTGTGCAGCACTGATGCTGCAGCTGAAACAGAAACTCCAATACTTTGACCACCTGACGAAAAGAACTGACTCACTGGAAAAGACCTTGATACTGGGGAAGATTAAAGGCAGGAGGAGAAGGGGATGACAGAGGATGAGCTGGTTGGATAGCATCACTGACTTGATGGACATGAGTTTGAACAGGCTCCGGGAGTTGGTGATGGACAGGGAAGCCTGGCCTGCTGCAGTCCATGGGGTTGCAAAGAGTTGGACATGACTGAGCGACTGAACTGAACTGTGCAGCAAGCACACAGACTTGGGTTTGACAATTTCAACATGAATTTTGGGGAGACATGATTCAACCCGTGTCACTTAATTTTCTTGATTTTGTTTAAATCAGAATGTGTCTGGGGACTTCCCTGGTAGTCCCATGGTTAAGAATCTACCTTGCAATGCAGGGGACACAAGTTAAATCCTTGGTTGGGGAAATGAGATCCTACTTGCCCGGGAACAAATAAGCCTGGGGACAATAACTAGAGAGTCCATGTGCTGCAATGAAAGATTCTCCGAGGGCTTTCCTGGTGGCTCAGTGGTAAAGGATCTGCCTGCCAGTGCAAGAGACATGGGTTCGGTCCCTGATCCAGAACGATCCCACATGCCTCAGAGCAACTAAGCTCGTGCACCACAACTATTGAGCCCGTGCTCTGGAGCCTGAGAGCCATAACTAGAGCCTGTGCTTCGCAACAAGAGAAGCCACAGCAATGAGAAGCCAGTGCATTGCAACTAGAGAGCAGCCCCCATTCTTTGAAATTAGAGAAATGTCTGCACAGCAAGAAGACCCAGGACAGCCAAAAATTAAAAATAAATAAATATTTAAAAAAAAAGATTCTGCCAGCCCCAACTAAGTCTTGACACCAGCAAATAAATTATTTTATTTAAAAAATAATTTATTAAAAATTATATTTTATAATTTATAAAAATAATTATATTTTTAAAAAAGTGTAACTGCTCTGGAACCCTGTCAGGCAGCATGGAAGGGAAATTCACTCTCAGGTGTTACTGCAGCTCTGGCCTCCTGCCTTCCCACCTGCAGAGATGCTGAGGGTCTCTGGAGGCCATTGAGACCTTAGGAGGCAGGACCCCTGGAACTTCCCTCCTCATTGGTCGGTGCTGATCTGCCCTTGTCCTAGCTGCCCACTTCCAGATGAAGCTGGGAGCCCCACTCCCACCTGCCCCCACATCCTCCAGGCGCTTGTTCCCCTGGGGCCCCCAAGGATACAGACCAGCCCTCAGTTTGCCCCTTCCCTGCCGGCCCCTCCCTCAGCCCCCAGCCGCAGGCAATTCAATTCTTTCCTGAGTCTAAGAAGACTCTGAATTTGGCCTCAGAGCAGAGAATTCTAAGGGTCCAGCCTCAAAACCCAGTTGGTATGTCTTAAGGAGGAAGGGAAGGAGGGACAAATAGCTGGGTTCTTTTTTCCAAGAGTAGGGAAACCAAATGCTCACCTTCCATAGTTTAGTAGATGATGCTGGCACATTCAAGCTCTCTGCCCTCCACTGGGTCCTCTCTCAGCAGTGGCCTCTGCAAATCTCTATTCTGCTCGGAACCACCCCCCTCCCCCCACCCCTGTCCCTCCACCCCCTCCCCTGCTGACCTTAAATAACGCCAGCTTGTCTGCCTCCTTAAACTCCCATGACTTCCTGCCAGGGACTCTTGCACATGGCACCATCCCTTCTCCCCTGCTTCCTGGGAGGTGGAAAGGGGTCTTCCTGCCCCAGGCCAAGTGCTCCCCACCCTCTTCCAGCTCCATCAGTGGCCCCTCCTTATACATTTTAGGTGTTTTTTTTTTTAAATAAAGTTTTATGTTTGGTGGTGGTTTAGTTGCTAAGTCCTGTCCGACTTTTGCGACCCCATGGACTGTAGCCTGCCAGGCTCCTCTGTCCATGGGATTCTCCAGGCAAGAATACTAGAGTGGGTTACCATTTCCTTTTCCAGGGAATCTTCCTGACCCAGGGATTGAACCCGGATCTCCTGCACTGTTTATGTTTAGAATCATTGATGATTTACAGAAAAGTATACAGAGACTTTTCGTATACAACCCCCTCACCCAGTTGTATACTATTATTAACTAAAGTTCACACTTTATTCAAATTCCCTTAGTTTTTACCTAATGTCCTTCTTCTGCTTCAGGGTGCCACCCAAGATGTCACGTGACATTCTGTTGTCATGCCTTCTTGGGCTACTCTTGGCTGGGATGGTTTCTCAGACTTCCCTTAACTTTGAGAATCTTGATGGTTTGGGGAAGTACGATTGTCAGTAGACTGTCCCTCATTTTGGGTTTGTGTGGTTGCTTGTTTGTTTTTCTCATGACTAGACTGGTGTTTAAGGACTCTTGGGAGGAAGACCACAGAAACGAAGTGTCATCCTCATCACATCGTTTCAAGGCTGCCTGATGTCAACATAATCACCGCCATGGATGTTGACTTTGCTCACCTGGCTGAGGTGATGTCTGTAAATTTCTTCTTTGTCCTCCATTCCATACTGTGCTCCCTGGAAGAAGTCAGGGCTATAGTGGGTGGGGAGTCAAGATTCACTTCCTTGAGGGGTCAATATTTACATCAATTATTGACAATTTTCCCATACAGAAACTTTTTCTCTCCCTCTTTTATTTGCTTATTCAATCATTTATTTGTATCAATACAGACTCACAGATATTTATTTTATCCTTTGAGTTGTTATCAAATATGTTATTTCTTTTTTGTTCAAATTGTTCCTACCTTTGACTCTGGGTTGATTCAATTTTAGTAGATTCTGTGGTCCTTTGATGTGGCCCCATCCCTTTGCTTTGGAAGCACTTCCTTCTTTCCTTCTCGGTTTCCAAGATGCTCCAGGCTCCTGCCCCAGGCTAGGATCAGACACTTCTTCCAGGAGCCCTGGTGTCTGTTATCAAGGAGAACAGGCTTAGGAATCTAGGTCTGGGTGCCATGTGCCCTCTGAAGGAACAAAATTGGAAATTTATGCTGAAATATAGATAACTTGTATATAATACACATGACTAGGATGCTGGGAGAAATATCAACAACCTCAGATATGCAGATGATACCACTCGGATGGCAGAGAGTGAAAAGGAACTAAAGAGCTTCTTGATGAAAGTGAAAGAGGAGTGAAAAAGCTGACTTGAAAGTCAACATTCAAAAAACTAAGGTCATGACATCCAGTCCCATTACTTCATGGCAAATAGAAGGGGGAAAAGTTAAAGCAGTGGCAGAGATTTTATTTTCTTGGGCTCCAAAATTACTGCAGATGGTGACTGAAGCCATGAAGTTAAAAGATCCTTGCTCCCTGTAAGGAAAGCTATTAAAGCTAGACAGCATATTGAAAAGCTGCTGCTGCTGCTGCTCCTAAGTCACTTCAGTCGTGTCTGACTCTGTGCGACCCTATAGACAGCAGCCCACCAGGCTCCCAGAATCCCTGGGATTCTCCAGGCAAGAACACTGGAGTGGGTTGCCATTTTCTTCTCCAATGCATGACAGTGAAAAGTGAAAGTGAAGTCGCTCAATTGTGTCTGACTCTTCGAGACCCCATGGACTGCAGCCTACCAGGATCCTCCGTCCATGGAGTTTTCCTGGCAAGAGTACTGGAGTGGCTTGCCATTGCCTCCTCTGTATTTAAAAGCAGAGATACCACTTTGCTGACAAAGGTCCATCTAGTCAAAGATAAGGTTTTTCCAGTAGTCATGTATGGATGTAAGAGTTGGACAATAAAGAAAACTCAGCACCAAGGAATTGATTCTTTCTAGTTGTGGTGCTGGAGAAGATTGTTGAGAGTCCCTCGGACTGCAAGGAGATCAAACCAGTCAATCCTAAAGGAAATCAATCCTGAATATTCATTGGAAGGACTGATGGTGAAGCTGAAGCTCCAATATTTTGACCACCTGATGCAAAGAGCCAACTCATTAGAAAAGACCCTGATGCTGGGAAAGATTGAGGGCAAGAGGAGAAGGGGGTGGCAGAGGATGAGATGGTTAGATAGCATCCCTGACTCAATGGACATGAATTTGAGCAAACTCCAGGAGATAGTGGAGGACAGGGGAGACTGGCATGCTGCTGTCCATGGGGTCACAAAGAGTTGGAAATGACTTAGTGACTGAACAACAACAACAGCATTTCTGTATTTACCCATCTGTATTTTTATAAGCTAAATGAGTTGCTGCTGATATCTCCAACTCTAAACCAGTACCACTTGGTTCATTCCAGCCTTTCCCTTGCTTATCTATAACTTCCCTCTGCAACTGGGAGAAACTCAGCTCCCACCACCTGTCATCCCTTTACTTATTTATTTATCCATGTGATTCAGGAGTGTTAGCTTGTTCACAATGAGCAATGAGTTTATCAGGAAGAGTACAGCGCTACATGTAGCTCACTTTGTCAACAGACTTTGGCAGGAGGAGAAAGGGACGACAAAGAATGACATAATTGGATGGCGTCATTGACTCGGTTTGGGCAAACTCCAGGAGGTAGTGAAGGACAGGGGGACCTGGCGTGCTGCAGTCCATGGGGTCACAAAAGCTGGACACAACTGAGTGACTAAACAACAACAACAAAGTCTAATGGCCACCAATCATTCCCACAGTTGCTTAAGAAACTTTAGATCAGCACCTTTTCTCCCCCATCTCCTTCAGGGAGGCTATGTGACTTTTCTAATACAGTTACATTCTTTTTTCACAGTCTGCACTCTATCCTGGGACTCCCTCACTATCTCCTAAATGATTAAAAAAAAAAATTGTCTCCATTAAGATTTGCTCTGTGCTGTAAAGCTCTGGGGATTTAACAGTGGACAATGTCCTGCATCCATCATCACAGTGTTACACAGAACCGTTTCACTCCACCACCCCAATTCTCCTGTGCCCTCCTTCCAACCCTTGGCAACCACTGATCAGTTATCCATCTCTATTTCCTGCATTTATTTATTATTTTATTTTTGTCTTTTCATGGCTTTACAGCTCATTTTCTTTTTAAAAAAATTCTTTTTTGGAGTATAGTTGGTTTACAATGTTGTGTTAGTTTCAGGTGTACGGTGAAGTGAACCAGTTACACACACACGCAGACACACACACACCTTAATATATGCGCCATGCCATGCTCATTCGCTAGTCACATCTGACTCTTTGCAATCCCATGGACTGTAGCCCTCCGGACTCCTTTGTCCATGGGATTTCCCAGGGAAGAATACTGTAGTGGGTTGTCATTTTGTCCAGGGGATCTTACCGACCCAGGGATTGAACCTGCATCTCCCTTATCTCCTGCATTGGTAGGAGGATTCTTTACCGCCTGAGAAGCTATATACATACCCCTTTTAGATTCTTTTTTCCCTGCAGATCATTACAGAGTGCTGAGTAGAGTTCCCAGTGCTCTACAGTGGGTTCTTATTAGTGCTCTGTCTTACGTAAGTGTGTGTGTGTGAGTCACTCAGTTGTGTCTGGCTCCTTGCGACCCCATGAGTTGGGGCCCACCAGGCTCCCATGACTTGGGGCCCATCAGGCTCCTTCATCCATGAGATTCTCCAGGCAAGAACACTGGAGTGGGTTGCATTCCCCTCTCCATATCTTATACATAGTAGCGTGTATATGTCATTTCCAATCTCCCAGTTTATCCATTCCCCCACTTCCCCCTAGTGACCATAAGTTTTTTTCTACATCTGGAACTCTATTTCTGTTTTGTAGGTAAGTTCATTTGGATCCTTTTTTCAGATTCCACCTATGAGTGATATCATATGCTACTTGTTCTTCTCTGTGTTACTTACTTCACTTGGAATGATAATCTCTAGGTCCATCTCTGTTGCTACAAATTCATTTTACCTGTACTCGACTTTCTCCATGGACTCCTGCCCACCAGCATTTATCATCTTTGAAAACCCTTCTCTCTAGTCATTTTGGGTACCTCCCACTATGACATCACCTGTTGTCTCCCTTTCATAGACAAACTCCACATTTGCCCTGAATTTGAATGAACTTTTTGGCCGGCTAGGCGGTGCATGTGGTTCCCTTAAGGACATTTGTACATCTGCTGGCTGGTGATTCCAAAAGGAAAGCAATTTGAAAACTTGCTTACACAAATATTCATAGCAGCATATCCTTGAGAACTAAATAGCATAAAAATCCAAATGTCCATCAACTGATGGATGGATAAACAAAATGTGGTCTGTGCTCACAATGGAATATTACTCAGCAGAAACAGGAAAGAAGTGCTGTTACAGGCTATGGCACAGATGAACCTTGAAAACATTGCACTATGGGAAAGAAACCAGAGACAAAAGGCCCCGTCTTATGTTACTGTGATTCCATTTACATGAAAGGTCCAGAGCAGGCAAATCTATAGACAGAAAGAAAAGAAGACTGGCAGTTTCGAGGGGCTGAGGGGCGGGAGAATTAGGGTGTGTTGGCTAAGGGGTGATCAACATGTTTTAAAATTGATTGCATTGATGATTGCACAAGACTGTGACTATACTAAACACCATCAAATTGTACACTTTAGATAGGTGGATTGTATGGTATGTGAATTACAGCTTCATAAAGTTGTTACCCAACAACACAAAACAATTCCCTCACTGACTGTGCTAAGGTGATATCCATTGAGATGAGTCATACTCACTATGTGAATTCTCAGGATGACTCAGGTTTACAGGGTTATTTTCAAGACAGCCCCAAGTTGGGCTTCAGGTCTACCCAGGACCAGCCAAAGAGGCTTATTCAAAGGTGCCTAGAACTGCTTTACACAGGAGCTGGCCACGCACACCTGTGAAGCCTCTTTGGCTATGAGGTCCCAGAGATGGCACAGGCCATGAACAAAGAAATCACTGTCAGGGTCATTTCATCTCTGGGCCCTCCCTTCCCTCCACTCTAAGGATTGAGTTGGGATTGGAACCTGGGACAGTTCGGCAAGTGACAGAATTTGAGCCCTGTTTGTAGGACTGTGGCCCTTGCCTCTAGGGTGGGGGTGGGGTGGGGTGCGGGGACCACTTTCTGACGCCAGATCAAACATGGACATGATTACAGCAGTAGGGTTAGGTTGGCTTCAGTCGCTCAGTCATGTCCGAGTCTTTGAGGTCCCATGGACTGTACCATGCCAGGCTTCCTTGTCCTTCACCGCCTCCTGGAGCTTGCTCACACAACAACAAAGCAGCCAAAGAAATTGGTTCCAGAATCTAATATGAGAGGGAGTGTCACACATAGAGTCATATGCATTTGTTCTCAATGGGAGTGACCTGTCACGGGGGACAGAGATCAGGTGGATTGTCAGAGCGATTACGTAGAATTCGCTCTCCCTCCAGTTCCAGCTCGACTTGCTGACCTGTTGGTCTTGCTCGAGACCTCTCAGCATGTTCGTCAGTAGGAAATCTGAACACTCTGTATTTCCTGCTGATCCGTCTCCCTGTCCACCACCAGGCAGGCGTTGAATGAGCTGGTTTGTCTTCCTTTTCACCACTAACTCACCTGGTCTTAGGCTCTGTGGTGGGTTGGATGGTCCCCAACCCCCTGCCCCCATGGATCTACCTAGAACCTGTGAAATGACCTTATCTGGAAAAAAGGGTCTTTGCAAATGTAATTAGATATTTATTTATGTATTTGACTGCACTAGGTCTTAGTTGCAACACCTGGGAGCTTTAGTTCCAGCAGGGTAACTCTTAGTTCTGGTAGGTGGGATCTAATTCCCTGACCAGGGATCGAACCCGGATCGAACCCGGACCCCCTGCACTGGGAGCACAGAGTCTTAGCCATCGGACCACCCGGGAAGTCCTCTGCAGATGTAATTAAGTTAAGAATCTCTACTTGAGATCGTCCTGGATTGTCTGTCATTGGCCCTAAATCTAATGACTGATACTCTCATAAAAGACAGAAGCGGAGAAGCCACACAGAGGGGAAGGCCATGAGAAACAAAGGCAGAGATTCAGGTGGTGCCCCTGAAGGTGAGGAAGGCCTGGAGCTGCCAGAAGCTGTTAGAAGCCAGGAAGCCTCCTCCCCGAGAGCCTCTGGAGGGAGTTGGGTCCTGCCGACACCTTGATTTTGGACTTCTGGCCACTGGGACTTCGAGATAATACATTTCTGTTGTTTTATGTCGCCAAGTTGGTGGGAATTTATTATGGCCGCCCGAGGAAATGAATACATCCCTGAGCCTCTGAACTTCATCTGTAAGATGTATTAAAATAAAACAGCATGGACCATGTGCCAGGGATTATGTAGGCTAAGCCTTAACCTACTTATGCCATCTAATTCCTGGTATTCCCATTTTGCCACGTTGGAGAGAGGTGAAACAGGAGGCTGACTGTGCGGTGGACAGGCAGGACCTGCTGTGTGGTCAGCTCCCTCGGGGCTCTTGTCCTTGGCTCGTTAACACTCAAACACTGGGAGTCTAACTCATGGAGCCTTGGGCCTGGCCTGTTTCTGACATCTTCCATTCTTTGCACCAGCGAGCACTGCAGGGACTTGAGGGGGCTCTGGGGGATTAAAGGGTTAAACCCAAACCTCAGTGGCCAGGCCTCTGATGTGGTCCTGTCGTTGTTGTTCAGTCACTAAGTCATGTCCAACTCTTTGTGACCCCATGGACTGTAGCACACCAGGCTTCCCTGTGCTTCACTATCTCCCCGAGCTTGCTCAGACTCATGTCCATTGAGTCAGTGATGCCATCCAACCATCTCATCCTCTGTGCATTTCTCCAAACTACAGGGAGGGAGCACAGCCCCATCTATCAGCAGAAAATTGGATTATTGGATTAAAGATTTACTGAACATGGACCTGCTCACCAGAGCAAGACCCAGTTTTCCCCACAGCCAGCCCCTCCCGTCAGGAAGCTTGCACAATCTTCTTTTTTTTTTTGTACAATCTTTTTATCCTCATCCATCAGAGAGCAGACAGAATGAAAACCACAATCACAGAAAACTTACCAAATGGATCACATAGATCACAGCCTTGTGTAACTCAGTGAAACCATGAGCTATGACATGTAGGGCCACCCAAGACCGATGGGTCATGGTGGAGAGTTCTGATAAAACGTGGTCCTCTGTAGAAGAGAATGGCAAACCACTTCAACATTCTTGCCTCAAGAACTCCATGAATAGTATGAAAAGGTAAAAAGTGGTCCTGGGGTTCTCCTATTGCCCTGCCCAGAAGGTCGTCTCATCAGTTCTTCCCATCCCTGCCGACCCCTAATGTACCTTGATTTGGAGAGGGATGCTTAGGCCGGGAAACAGTGAGTAGACCCAGAAGTGCTCCCAAAGAGCATCCTCTCCTCATCCAGAGAGACACTGAATCCAACCTGGGTGGTGACAGGCAGGTTGGCCTGTTGCTTCGTTTTGGTGCTAGTGTGGACGGTGACTGTGACCATGAAATGAAAAGATGCTTGCTCCCTAGAAGGAAAGTTATGAAAAACCTAGACAGCGTATTAAAAAGCAGACATCACTTTGCCAACAAAGGTCTGAGAAGTCAAAGCTATGGTTTTTCCAGTAGTCGTGTACAGATGTGAGAGTTGGACCATAAAGAAGGCTGGGCTCCAAAGAATGGATGTTTTTAAATTGTGCTGGAGAAAACTCTTGAGAGTCCCTCAGAATGCAAGGAGACGACACCAGAATCCATGTGCACGGGGAGCCTGCACACCCTCAATCCTAAAGGAAATCAACCCTGAGTATTTCTTAGAAGGACTGATGCTGAAGCTCCCATACTTTGGGCACCTGATGCGAAGAGCTGACTCATTGAAAAGACCTTGATGCTGGGAAAGGTTGAATGCAAAAGGAGAAAGGGGTAGGACAGGATAAGACGGTTAGCTAGTATCATGGACTCAGTGAACATGAATTTGAGCAAACTCGGGGAGATACTGAAGGATAGGGAAGCCTGGCATGCTGCAGTCCATGGGATCACAGAGAGTTGGACACAACTTGGCAACTGAATAGTAACAAGTTGGAGTCATGGCAAGATGCTGACAGCTTGGTAGGGCAGAGACACGGCCTGTGAGAAGAGTCACGGTCACAGACAGTGCACAGGGCAAGTGGGCTCACTGAGACCCCCCACCCTCAAGGGTGGGGACCCTTATCCCTTCCCAGAGCCACAGCTTCTAAGCACGATGGCTGCCCGCAGGCACCCCTCATCTTTCATCCTTTAGTCCCAGAGGAAAGCAGCGTGGGTTGTTAAAACACATTTCATGATAAACAACTTTGGGTCCCAGGCTGCAGGACACGTGTTCAAGGCAAGTAACATTAGCCCTGTGACCTTTCCCACGCTGGCCGGCTGGGAGCTCGTCCACCTGTTGGGCCAGAACAAGTACACCCATGAAAGTCACCCAAGCTGCCGTCTGCTGTTCCCTCTTCCTCCAGCAGCAAATAGCAGCTTGCAGATGTCATAGGTGCCAGCTGAGGCCCAGGCGGGATGGGCTGTACGCAATGGCTCCTCCGGGGCTGGGGCCACAGCACAGTTATTTATAAGCTCTGGCTGCTGCCAGCCCTCCTGGATCAGGCTGGTTTGTTTGAGTCTCTGGTGCCAAGTGTTTTCCTTTTTTTTCTTTTCCCAGTGAGAATCTGAATCTGAACATCGCTGGGGAAACCCAGAATCAAGTCACTGGATCAATACTTGCTCAATACCCATTGTCAAGGCCTCAAAGGCACAAATGTATGGTTTATCATCCACTCTCCCCTGGGATGATGGTGGGGCTGCTGGGTGTGTGTGTTGGGTCGGGGGGTACTTCCAAGAGCACCTGCCTAGAATTTGTCCTTGAGTGTGTCTGGTGGCTTAGGGGTAAAGAACCCACCTCCCAATGCGGGACACCCAGGTTCAATCCCTGGGTTGGGAAAATCCTCTGGAGAAGGAAATGGCAACCCATTCCAGTATTCTTGCCTGAAGAATCTCATGGACAGAGGAGCCTGGCGGCCTACAGTTCATGGGGTCGCAGAGTCAGACACAACTTAGCAACTAAACTGCAGTGTCCTTTTCAGAGAGGGATATATCAGAGCTTTGTTGTTATTTATCAAGAAGATTGATGTCCCTGAAGAAAGGATGTCCAGAGTATTTGCATAATGTAGGGCTTAGGGCTGCACTGTGACTTCCACAGGCCCTGAGCACCTCTGTTTTTTTGGGGTCTCATCCTTCATTAAAAAAATATAATAAAAAATTTAAAATTAGAAATTAGTATTGGGTTGGCCAAAAAGTTCATTTGGGTATTTTCATATCATCTTTCAGAAAAACCTGAATGAACATTTTGGCCAACCCAATGCAAAGCAAACATAATTCAGGCTGGATTTGCTGCTATATATTCATCATTAATGTATTCGCTTTTTCTTTTTGATTTTGTAAATTGTGTGTGCCATGCCCTCAGTTATGTCCAACTCTTCGCGACCCCGTGGACTGTAGCCCACCAGGCTCCTCTGTCCATGGAATTTTCTGGGCAAGAATACTGGAGTGGGTTACCATTTTCTCCTCCAGGGGATCTTCTTGACCCAGGGATTGAACCTGAGTCTCTTGTGTCTCCTGCATTGGCAGGAGGATTCTTTACCTCTGTGCCCACCGGGGAAGTAATTAAAACCTTTTTGAGGTCTCGTAAAAGTCCCAGGATCCAGTGAGTGCCTCCTGCTGGGCCTCCCTCCCAAAGCTGTTTTATTCTCTGATGGTCATCCACATTCAGATTTACTGTGCTAAGTGATTTACATGCAAAGTCCTATTTCTTCTCTGAAAAGCCCATGGGGAAGGTAGCCTCCCTACCCCAAATCCACAGATGGGGAAGCTGAGAAATGAGATCACTTGTCCAGGGTCACGCACAGCTGGGGCTGCACCCACTGCTGGCCACACCCACAGCCTTGTCCTCCGTCTCCACGCTAGATGCCTCTTCACCCATATTTGACTTTAAAAAGCCTTCATGCCCACAGTTCATGCTTCCTGGAGCCCTCCGTTAATCAGTAGCCACTTGCTCCTGGCCCAGTGAGACGCTACCAGGAACAGAAGAAGGTCCAGGCAGAGGCAATCACGGGGTTGTGGCTGTCTGGAGCCACGCTCCCCCTCCCCCGCTTCCCTGGACATCCCTGGGCCCACTACCCTCAGTGCTGTTCGGTACCCGAGGCAGTGGCTCCGTCCAGCCTTGACTACCTCAGACCCAGGGCCAGTGCCCCGTGAAAATCAGTAAAAGGCGTCCCTTCCTCAAGACCCTTGATTGCCAGGAAACTGGCGCACTAAACACCCAGATCTATGATGTGCAATGCGTCTGTTATGTGAATGGGGCCCCTTGTAATGAGTGACGTGTGCATCCTGCCCAGCCAGACAGAGTGGTCCCGGCCAAGCTCCCAGAGCCCTGGTGCCAATGTCTGCTTTCAAGGATGCTATAAGTGGTAATAGGCCAGTCTTGGGAGAAGGCTGGAGATGAAAGTGTTTGCAGCAGAGGGTGGGGGGGTAGGCGGGGGAAAGGTCTCATGCTGGCTCCAGAAGGAGGGTTGGGGCCTTGCGGTTGGAGCTGAAAGCAGAAGCCCAGGCTGCCTGGTGGTCACATGGGGAGCTGTACTTGAGGTCAGGAATGTCCAGCTTAGCGTGAACCAAACGTGGGCCTTGGAGCATGTACCGAGTGCTACAAAGGCAAAGACAAAGGGGCAATTACGTCTGCAGGGGCAGAAAGGACAACCAAGAAATGCTTCATGAAAGACAAAACATCTGAGCTGGGCTTTGGCAGGATAAATAGGCGTTCACTGCGCCAAGAATCCAGGAAGAACATTAAAAAAAGTGTGTAGGGCTTCCCAGGTGGCTCAGTGGTAAAGAATCCACTTGCCAATGCAGGAGACATAGATTTGATCCTTGGGACAGGAAGATTCCTGCATGTTGCAAAGCAACTAAGCCAGTGGGCCATGACTACTGAGCCTGTGCTCTAGAAGTTGGGAGCTGCAAGTACTGAACCCACGCACCCTAGAGCCCGTGCTCCGCAACAAGAGAAGCCACCAAAATGAGAAGCCTGCGCACCACAACTAGAGAGAAGCCCCCATCACCACAACTAGCGAAACGTCCATGTAGCAATGAAGACTCAGCAGAGCCAAAAATAAATAAACAAAATTATTATTTTTTTTATAAAGGTGTGTTGAAGAGAAGGAACAGAGAGGCAGGGGACTACAGAATTTCAAAAGACCCCTGGGTCACCCCTGTCTGACACTGACCCCCTCTGTGTTACAGGAGTTGTTTACCCACATCTCTTTCCCACCGCACTGTCGGCTCCTGTGGGCAGGGACTGAGTCCAGTTTGCTTGTATTTCAGAACCAGGTTATGGCCTGGCATAAACAAGCTCTTGGTAAATATGTGCAGGGTGAATGTACCACCTGTTGATTGACTGTCTGTTGCAGCCGGAGTTTAAGGGTTTCCCAGCCCTTTAAGGGTTTTAAGGGCTGGGAATTGGGATGGGGAGGTAGGAGGAAGCAAGGCTGAGAAGACCCGCTGGAGACACCGTGTGGGCCTGGGGGCTCTGCCGTGGAGCCCATGTTTCACTATGTTGGGGATGTGCGGTCAACAGAAGGGTGATCCAGACCTGCCTATGTCACCAGATCTGTTGCCAAAGGTTTGGGGTGGCCTCCAGTTTAAGGGTGGTTCAGTGGTAAAGAATCCACATGCCAATGCAGAAGTCACAGGAGACTGGGTTTGATCCCTGGCTCAGGAAAATCCCTTGGAGGAGAAAATGGCAACCCACTCCAGTATTCTTGCCTGGAGAGTCCCATGGACAGAGGAGCCTGTATAGGGTTGCAAAGAGTCAAATATGACCGAGCATGTATGCACCAGGCCACGTGGGCAGAGCCTTGAGATAACAGAGGAGAGAGGAGGAAAGTGCTGGGGCTGTGGGCTCCTGGCCATAGCTGCTTGCTCTAAAATGATGGAAACTGGGGAATTCCCTGATGGTCCAGTGGTTAGGGCCTCCCACTGTCACTGCCGAGGCCCTGGGGTTCAATCCTGTGTTGGGGAACTGAGATCCTATGAGCCATGTGACATGGCCAAAGGGAGGAAAAAGATGGAAACATTCCCACTGAGGGAAAGAGGGAGTTCTCCAATTTAGAAGCATGAGTCAGGAAGAGCACCATAGTCTCCTGGGTCAACTTGGGTGTGGTAACATTTGGAAAACATAACCTGTCACAGGGCTAGCATATAAAACTATTCACTCAGCACCATGACCAAGTGGGATTTATGCCAAGTGTATAAGGTTGGCTCAACATTTAAATACCAGTGAATGTAATCTATCATATCAACAGGCTAAAGAAGAAAAAGAATCACATGATCATATCAACAGATGCAGAAAAAGCATTTGACAAAATCCAATACTCATTCAAGATTAAAACTTCCAGCAAATCATTAGGAGGGGTACTTCCTCAACATAAAAAACATCTACAAAAAAAACTACAGCTAACATCATACTTAACAGTGATAAACTTGAAGCTTTCCTGCTAAGATCAAGAACAAGGCAAGGGTCTCCCCTTTCACCACTCCTTTTCAACATTTTGCTGCAAGTCCTGGCTAACACAATAAGATAAGAAATGGAAGTAAAGGTTATACAGATTGGGAAGGAAGAAATAAAACTATTCACACATGACACGATTTTCTATGTAGAAAATCTGAAAGGACCACCACCACCAACAAAAGCTCTTGGAATTAATAGGCAATTTTAGAAAAGCTGCAGGATACAATGTTAATACGTAAAATGCAGTAGCTTTCCTGTATACCAACAACAAACAAGTGGAATTGAAGTTAAAAACATACCATCATTTACATTAGCAGCCCCAAAAGAAATACTTACGTAGAAATCAAACCCAGATCTATATGAGGAAAACTACAAAATTCTGAAGAAAGAAATCAAAGAACCAAATAAATAGGAAGATGTCCATGTATCAAGATGTCGTGTGAGCTAAGTCACCCAGTCATGATCAATTCTTTGTGACCCTATGAACTGTAGCCTACCAGGCTCCCCCGTCCATGGGATTCTCCAGGCAAGAATATTGGAGTGGATTGCCATGCCCTCCTCCAGGGGATCTTCTCTACCCAGGGATTGAACCGGCATCTCTTAAGTCTCCTGCATTGACCAGTGGATTCTTTTACCACTAGCACCACCTGGGAAGCCCAACAAGATGTCAATTCTTAACTTGATTGGCAGATTCAACGTGACCCAAATCAAAATGGCAGCAAATTATTTTATGGATATTGATAAGCTGATTCTAAAGTTATTTAGAGAGGCAAAAGACCCAGAATAGCCAACTCAGTATTGAAGGAGAAGAACAAAATCAGAGGACTGACTCAACCCGATTTCAAGACTTATTATAAAGCTATAGTAATCAAGACAGTATAATAATAGCAAAAGAACAGACAAATAGATCAATGGAACAGAATAGAAAGCTAAGAAATATACTCACATAAATATAGTTAATTGATCTCTAACAAAGGAGAAAAGGTAATACAAAGGAACAAAGAGAATCTTTTCAACAAATGGTGCTGAAACAGCTGGGCATCTATATGCAAAAGAAGCATCCAGACATAGATCTTACACTCTGAAAAATTAACTCACAATGGATGATAGACCTAAATATAAAGAGCAAAACTGTAAAGATTCTTGAAGATGATGTCAGAGAAAATCTAGGTGGCCTTGGGTATGGTGATGACTTTTTAGATGTAACACCAAAGGCACAGTCCATGAAAGGAAGAACTGATAAACTGAACTTCATTAAAATAAAAACTGCTCTGTGAAAAATAATGTCAAGTATATGAGAAGACAAGCCACAAACTGGGAGGAAATATTTGCAAAAATAAAGGATTGTTATCCAAAATACACAACAAAGCCTTAAAACTCAACAAGACAACAAACAACTTAATTATAAAATGGCAGAAGAAAAAAATAAAATGGCAAAAGATTTGAACAGACACCCCACCAAAGAAGATATACTGATGGCAAAATGCATATGAAAAGATATTCAACATCATATATCATTAAAGAAATGCAAGTTAAAACGAGATACCGATAGACTCTTAACAGAATGGCCCAAATCCAGAGCCCTGACAACACCAAATGTTGATGAGGGTGTGGAGCAGCAGGAACTCTCATTCTTTGCTGGTGGGAATGGAACATGATTCAGCCACTTTGGAAGACAGTTTGACAGCTTCTTATGAAACTGAACATACTCTTACCAATATAATCCAGCAATCTCAGGCCTTGGTATTTACCCAAATGAACTGAAAGCTTCCATCTATATAAAAGCCTGCACTTGGATGTCCAGAGCAGCTTTAGTCATAATCTCCAAAACTTGAAAGCAAACAAGAAGTCCTTCAGAAGGTGACTGTATAAATGAACTGTGGAACATTCACACAATAGGATATTATTCAAGAGAATTCCCTGGCAGTCCAGTGGTTACGACTCCATTCTCTCACTGATGTGAACCTGTGTTCAGTACCCAGCCCAGGATCTAAGACCCCCACAAGCTGTGCTGCCAAAAATAAAAAATAAATAAACCTGAAGTTCTTTAATAAAAAAAAGAATATTATTCAAGATTAAAAAGAAATGAGCTCTCAAGCCATGAAAAGATGTGGGGGATACAAATGTATGTTACTGAGTGGCAGACACTAATCTGAACCAGCTGCATACTTTATAATTTCAGCCACATATATGACATTCTGGAAAAGGCAAAACTGAAGATGGGAAAGATCAGTGGTTGCCAGGGGATGAGGGGAGAGAGAGGGATTAATAGGAAATGCACAGACGCTTTTTAGGCAGTGAAGTTTCACTGTGTAAGACACTAGTTAATACAATAGTGGATACATGTCCTTATACACTATTCAAAACCCATAGTATGTACAACACCAACAATGAACCCAAGTGAAGTATGAACTTTGGGTGATGATGTGTCAACATAGATTCATTGATTGTAACAAAAATGTCACTCTGTGGGAGGTGGTGAGGGAGGCTGTGAGTGTGAGAGTTCTGGTTTAGTCTCTATGTCATGTCTCATTCTTTTGCAACCCCATAGACTGTAGCCCGCCAGGCTTCTTTGTCCATGGGATTTCCATGGCAAGAATACTGGAGTGGGTTGCCATTTTCTTCTCCAGGGGATCTTTCCAACCCAGGGATCAAACCCACATCTCTTGCATTGGCAGGTGGATTCTTTACCACCAGGGAAGCCCGTGAGTATGAAGGGACAGGGGGTAAAAGGGAAATCTCTGAAATTTCTGCTCAAGTTTGCTGTGAACCTAAATCTGCTCTAAAAAATAAAGTCCATTACAAATTACTCACTGAGTCAATCTCCCTTCCTACTTCTGTCATCAGGCCCTGAATTGGGGGTGGAAGGAGAGATGGGAGCTCATAGAAGCAGAGGGCCCCAGCTGTCCCACACCCAGGCCTGCTCAGGTCATCTCCACCTCCCCAGGCCTCAACAACCTAGGAGGGGACACTTGAGGGAGTGGATGGTGACCCTAAAACATGGGCTGGGTGGGGACTTCCCTGGCCATCCGGTGGTTAAGACTCTGTGCTTCTACTTCAGGGGGCACAGGTTCGATCCCTGGTCGGGGAACTAAGATCCCACATGACCAAAACAATGAAAACCAACCTCACCGCTCCCCCACCCCGACCCCCGCCCAAATCCAAGGGTTGGGTAGTCACCCCTGGGCAAACTGCCTCTGGACTCTGGCTCCAGATGTCCTGGCTCCACCACTTTTCAGCTGGGAAACTTGCCAAGTGGATGCCTGTCTGTAAAATGGGCGTAGTGATCGCACCTACTGTGGGCGCCGATGAACATTACCGGAGTGACACAGGTGGATGGCCCAGCGCAGACAGCTGGACAGCAGTGCCAGCCAGGAGGGAAGCCTCAGCTCTCCGCGTTCCTGCAGGCGCCGTTGCGCCCCCTGGTGGCCTCATGGGCAGCGGCAGCGCCGGCCGGCGGCCTGGGACAGAGTCACGCTCCCTCCTGCGGCTGTGTGCGGCTTGCTCTGCCAGCGGTGAGCTTTGTGTGCTTGCGTGCCCTGTCGCTTAAGGAGTGTCCGACTCTTTGCGACCCTGTGGACTGTGGCCCACCAGATCCTTCTGTCCATGGCGTTCTCCAGGCACGAATTCTGGAGTGGGTTACTGTGCCCTCACTAATCAAGCGTCCCTAGTGGTGGCCATGCTGAGTTTTCTCCCAGTTTCCTCTCTCCCGGGCCCTGGGGCCGCCACCCCAGGACAGGTTTGATGGATGCTTGTAGGACTGTGCTCTACAACTCTATGTTGTAGAGTAGGGTCTCAGGATGGAGCCCCAGCCCCTTGTCCTGTGTCTCCCCCTTGGGCTCTCCCAGGACATAACCCCAGAGGTGGAGGAGCCAACCCCTTCCTCTCTGGAAAGCATGTGCCAGACCCAGGCAGCCCACCCTACTAAACTGGACTGGTAGGGATGGATGTACTGACAGGTCCTCTCCTGAGACCGTCTGTTAAGGGGCAGGAAATCCAGGGAAGGGCCCCGCTGCCTGGTTTTTAAGGGACGCTGAGTGCCACCACTTAGAGGGGCTTTATCCACTCCTATCTCCCCAGTGCATGCCTGCTGCGTGTTGCTCAGTTATGTCTGACTCTTTGCGACTTCGTGGACTGTGGCCTGCCAGGCTCCTCTGTCCATGGGATTTTCCAGGCAAGAATACTGCAGTGGGCTACCATTCCCTTTCTCCAGGATGTCTTCCTGACCCAGGGATGAAACCCATGTCTCCCAAGTCTCCTACATTGGCAGGCAGATTCTTTACCACTGAGCCATCTGGGAAGGCCATCTCCCCCAGCAACCACAAATAAGGGAAAAAAAAATTGGCAAAGTATGTGTTTCAGATTTCCAAGTTGATGGGACTACTGTTTAATTCATCAAAGGAAGAAATTAAGAGAAAACAATAATGTACTGGTGAAGTAACTGATTGGTCATTAGGGGGAAATTCTAGATTTCACTTTAAAAAACCCTATTAGATAACTTGTTTGTAAGGATAAAGTTTGTTTTTTTCTTTTTTAAGGTGTACCTAATTTTATTTATTTATTTTTTGACTGCACCATGTGGAGTGCAGGGATCTTATTTCCCCGGGGTTGAAGCTGTGCCCCCTGCCTTGGGAGTTCAGAGTCTTAACCACCAGGGAAGACTCAGGGATAAAATATTTATTAATGACATCTTTCTGGATTATTCTCTGGTGCTGCCCTCAGCTGGCACCTCAGATGAAATCTTTCATGTCAGTGTGCTCTCAGCCCCAGCCCAGAGCCTTGGAGAGCCACCCTCGAGCCCTCTGATGAGAGTGGACCCCCTCCTGCCTGACCATTGGTATCTTAGTAAAGGTGCCCATCGTAGGACATCCTGAGTTTTATTAGACTCTAGAGGAACTGGCAAAGGGCACAATTCTGCCGGCCAGAAGCTGCATGGAGCCCTCGCACCCCTCCCCTGCCCAGCTGGGATAGCAGAGTGGGAACCTTGGGGGAGGGAGTAGAGAACACTGTGTCTGTGTTTGGGGTTTTAGTCTGGACCTGAGCAGGTTGTGAAATAAGGGCATTTGAGCCGTGTTTATCAAAATTTCAAAGGGCCAGTTCGGCCCAAAGTGACATATTTAGTTTAATATCACTGATGTTGCCTTGGCTGTCAGAGTGCTGCCAGAAAAAGGCTCTGTGATCGGGTTGGCAGGACTGGAGGATGGCTGATGGTTCTGCGAGGAGAAGAGGAGGGCCTCTGAGCTCAGGGAAGAAGGAGGGGTCCGGGGCTCCCGTGTAGACTGTGGAAAAGCTAGGAACTAGGCGGGGGCCTTGCCTGCCCCCACCTGGACTCAGGGTTTCACACATCCCCGTGTTTCTTACCACCTCCTTCACAGGCTCAGAAATCTCAAAAGGATGTGAAAAAATTTGAGGTTCTGGTCATTTGAAAGACATCAGTTGTGCAGTATTTTTCGTTTTTCTCTGACAGAGTTTCATTGTGCATTTTCTGTTTTAAACTTCATTTTTTGATGATAAAACTAGTAGAACCACAGAGAGCTGGGGAGACCAGGACTGAGAAGCAAGTGAAACCCCAGTAGCTCTGATCACAAAACACGGTTGGCATGTGGTCCCACTCCCTCTGTTCGTGAACATGGCTACAATCCCAGGCCGCTTGCAGATCTAAGTTATGTGTTAAGATAGCAAAACATGGAGAGTAGGGCTTCAGTGTTCTCAACACACACACACACACATACAGACAGGCAGCTGTGTGAACATATGGATGTGTTAATTAGCTTGATTATGGAGATCATTTCACAGTGTATACCTGTATCAAATCTTTTCTTTGTATACTTAATGTATATAATTATTGTCAATTAAACATAAAGTTGGAAAAATTGAAAATCGGATTTCTTCAACAAATAAATCACAAGATGAACAGGGAACCTATAGATAAAAAGAAATTTAAATGTCAGGTTAACTAATCGGTGGATCCCAATTCAAATAGACTGCTTTTTAAAAAAAGAATATTTTTGGCATCAAGGAGACTCTTCATAATACAGCATTAATGATTTAATTATGTTGAAGTTTATTTTTAGGTGTGTTGAGATTAAAAAGACTCTGTACTTTTTGTGCATTTAGAAATATTTACAGATGGAATAATATACTCTCTGGGATTTGCTTTAAAATAATAACAGTTGGAGGGAGAGGATAGAGGTCAAGATGAAATGAGGATAAGTTTGACCACATGTTGGTGGCATGTGGGATCTTAGTCCCCCTGCTAGGGACTGAGCCTGTGCCTCCTGCACTGGAGGCATGGACTCCTAACCACCAGAATGTCAGGGAATTCCCTATTTCTCTATTTTTAAAAAATATGTTTGCAATTCTCCATAATGAATGCCCCATAATAAAAAAGTTTAAATGGTTTTTCTTTTTTTTTTTAAAAGGACACACAGGGACAAGGATTGACCTTCTTTGGTTGCAAAGGGACTCAGTCACTGAGAGGTACCCCATGGGCTTTGTTGTTGTTTAGTTACTAAGTCATGTCCGACTCTTTTCGACCCCATGAAGTGCAGCACGCCAGGCCTCCCTGTCCATCACAAACTCCTGGAGTTTACTTAAACTCATGCCCATCGAGTTGGTGATGCCATCCAGCCATCTCATCCTCTGTCGTCCCCTTCTCCTCCTGCCCCCAATCCCTCCGAGCATCAGGGTCTTTTCCAATGAGTCAGCTCTTCGCATTAGGTGGCCAAAGTATTGGAGCTTCAGCTTCAGCATCAGTCCTTCAAATGAATATTTGCTGGGAAGAGGTTATTCAGACTGGTCCAGCCACCAACTCCCTCCAGATGCCCCTTCCTGACGCTCAGTAGGGCTTCCCAGGTGGCTCAGTGGTAAAGAATTCGCCTGTCAATGTTGGGGACACGGGAGACTCAGGTTCGATTCCAGGAAAGGTCCCCTGGAGGAGGAAATGGCAACCCACCCCAGTATTCTTGCCTGGAGAATCCCATGAACAGAGGATCCTGGCAGGCTGAGGTGCAACTGAGCACGTATGAAGGTTCAGTATCCAGTGTCCGCCAGGGGGCGGCTGAGACCATGTTTAACTGACCCAGAGCCGAAGGGCTGGACTGCTGTTTTCTGGGCCCCCTTTGAGATGTGCTGAGATTTCAGACTCTTCCATGGGGAAAGTTTGGGCACAAACCTTAGAGGTGTGCAGAGGGTCAAGGCAAGGGCTGAGATTGCAGGCATGTTGCTGAAAACCTGTGGATGAAAATTGGGCTTTCCTGCTGATTTCTTGAGAGACTTTTATTTCTTTGGCTTCTGTCCCTGAGTTTCTCTAGTCTCCATTGTGGGTTTGTTTTTTTTTTTAATTGTTGGAGGGGGAGATATAATTCATGTATCATAGAGTTTACACATTTAAAGTGTACAGTGCAATCAATCTAGAATATTCACAGATATGTGAAACTATCACCTCCTTCAGTGTTAGTTTTTTTGTTTGTTTTTTAAATCCCCTTAAAAGGAAACTGCTGGACTTTCCTGGTGGTGAAGTAGGTGGGAATCCGCCTGCCAATGCAGGGGATACAGATTTGGTCTCTGATCCAGGAAGATTCCACATGCCATAGAGCAACTAAGCCCGTGTGTCCCAACTCCTGAGCCTACGCTCTGCAACGAGAGAAAATGAAAGTCGTGTCCGACTCTTTGCGACCCCATGGACTTTACAGTCCATGGAATTCTCCAGGCCAGAATACTGGAGTGAGTAGCCTTTCCCTTCTCCAGGGTATCTTCTCAACCCAAGGGTTGAACCCAGGTCTCCTGCATTGCAGGCAGATTCTTTACCCGCAGAGCCACAGGGGCGCCCGCAACAAGAGAGGCCATCACAGTGAGAAGCCCTCGCACGGCAACGAGGAGTAGACCCCGCTCACTGCAACTGGAGAAAGCCTGCACAAAGCAACGAAGACCCAACACGGCCAAAAATAAAAAATTGAAAAAAACTGCGTGCCATTTGGCTGTCTCCTAACTACCTTCCTGACCCCTGCCCCAGCTCTAAGCCACCACTAATCTACTTTCTGTCTGTAGATTTCCCCACACTGGATATTCCCTTGTGGTTTTGATGAGTGAAGAGGCTTTTTTCTCTCCCATCCTGGAAGTGAGAGCATTATGGGGACCCCCCACCCAGGGCCTCCTGCCCCTCCCTCCCTGTGAGCTTGGTCCAGAAGCCGTGATGCCCTCTAGACTGCTCAATGAAACTAGCTCCTCCAAAATTAGAGTCTGAGGAGGCTGGGGTCCACTGGATCACAGACCCCAGTACACACATGTGTGCACACAGGAGGAATTAGAGTGGGCTGAAGAGCCATTTCAATTCAGAAAGACTCTGACTGCCCTCATAGCTGGCCAGGGAGTTGTACAGCCCCTGTGGAAGTGAGCTGGCAGTTCCTCAAAAACTCAAAGTCACCACATGACCCAGTAATTCCACAACTAGGTTAACAGCCAAGAGAATTGAAACTGTACATCTGTGCAACAAACTTTACACAAATGCTCTTAGAAGCATTATTCACAATGGCAAAAAAAAAATGGATGCCACCCAATGTTTATCAACAAAGAAATAGATAAAATGTAGCATGGGTGTACAATGGAATACTATTCAGTCATAAAAAAGAATGAAGTACTGGTACACGAATGAACCTTGAAAACATGAAGGTCAATGCATCAAACCAGACACAAAAGGCCACATATTATATGATTCCATTTGCAGGAAAGGAAATAAACACATTCATGTAGACAGAGATAAGTGGCTGCCTGGGGTTGGGGGAAGGGGGAACTGGGAATTACTGCTAATGGGGATGAAAATTTTGGGGGAGATGAAAATGTTCTGGAGTCAGATAGTGGTGATGGTTGAACAATACTGTAAATAGTTACAGTGAATTTCACACTTTAGAATGGTTAAAATGGTGAGGGGGGAAAAAAAAGACTGAACCCAAGGGTCCGTCTTTCAGTCAGGGAGGTGGGCAGCAGGTCTGAAGACTCCTTCTAGAACTGGGGTACAGAGCAAAATCTGGAATGTTCCAGATCATGGGCTGCAGTTTGCCCTCACCGCCTCCTGAAATGGCTTTTGTCTGGGTCACGGATGATATGTCCCTGGTTTTCTCCTGCGGATCTTCAGCCTCCTCCGCTCGTCCTTCCTTTTCTGCCTCCTAAGTGTCTCCAGCCATCAGTGCAGCCTGAACTGCCCGTGACTCCAGACTTCCTTGTCCACCTGCCTCTCCATCTTCCTGAGATGCCCAACAGGAAGTTCAAAGCTAACTTCTGCACATTCACTTCCGCCCTGCCCATCCCAGTTTGCTCCTGACCCCTGTGATCTATACTCCATCTTTCCAGTTGCCCAGGCAAAAGACGCTGGGGTCATCCCCGGCTCTTTCTCTCACACTCGACATCCAGTCTCTCGGAAAATTCTTTCAGTTTGGTGATGTGAGAAGATGCTCTGGATTTGACTGTTCTCACCACCTCCCCTGCTTCCTCTCTCGACCAATTACTGTAATAACCCCCTGGGGAGTCTCCCTTTTGCTCTTCCAGAATCTTCTCAACACAGCAGTCACACTGATCATTTAAAAAAATAATAATAATTAATTTTATTTTGGACTGCATCAGGTCTTAGTTGTGGGATGTAGTTCCCAGATGAGGGATTGGATCCAGGGAAGCCTTACATTGATCTTTTTAATCATGAATCAGATCATGTCACTCTTCTGCTCGAAACCTCCCAAGGCCCCCATTTCGTTGAGGGGAAAAAGCTGAAGTTTGTTCTATTACCGAGTCTAAGCCTGTACTGCTCACCTGACAGGCCAATAATTGAGACATGAGTTGTTGGGGCAAAGAATCACTTTATTCAGAAAGCAAGCAAACTGAGAAGATGGTGGACTCATGCTGCCAAGAACCATCTTCCCCGAGTTAGAATTCTGGCTCTTTTTATACTAAAAGGGGAGGGAGAAAACTCAAACACAATCTGCTTCCACTCAGGCTCCGGAGGGAACATGTTCATTTCTGCACATCACCCTGCAGTCAGCATCACTAACTCAATGGATGTGAATCTGAGCAAACTCTGGGAGATGGTGAAGGGCAGGGGAGCCTGGCATGCTGCAGTCCATGGAGTCACAAAGAGTCGGACACGACTTGGTTACTGAACAACAACAAGGCTGCAGCCATTGACTGATGGACCTGGTCAGGATGTTTCCTGTGAGCTAACAAAGGTGTTTTAGCTTAATGCTCATTACCTGGGAAGTAGGGTTCCCAGAGCTGGGCTATTATATATAATTTAAGCTTATGGGCACCATCCATGCAGTGATTAACTTCCAGCCACTTTACCCAGGGAAGGATGATTGAGCTGTGTGTCAGCAAAGAGGAGTTCTGCAATGCCAGACTGCAGCCCCATTTAATTTTTTTATTGTGGTAAAATACACATAAGAAGTTTTCCAGGTGGCCCTAGTGGTAAAGCATCCACCTGCCAATGCAGGAGACTCAGGTTTGATCCTTGGGTCTGGAAGAAAATGGAAAATGGCAACCCACTCCAGTATTCTGAAAAATCTCATGGACAGAGGAGCCTGGCGGGCTACAGCCCATGAAGTTACAAAGAGTCAGACATGACTGACTGAGAATGCATGCATGCAAAATACATATAACATGAATGTTACCATTTACAATCAATTTAGAGTATATACTTCAGTGGCATTAAAGGCATTCACCATGCCGGGCAACCACCATTATTGTTTAGTTCCAGAAGTTTTTCATCACCCCCGAAAGAGACCCCACACCAATTAAGCAGCTGCTTTCAGTTCTTTCTTCACTCCAGCCCCTGGAAATTACTTGTCTGCTTTCTGCCTCTATAGATATACCTATTCTGGACATTTCTTTTTTTAATTAAAAATTAAAAAAAAAAGTTTTTGACTGTGCTGTGAGGCTTGCAGGATCTTTGTTCCCCAACCAGGCATTGAAGCCACACCCCCTGCAGTGGAAGTCCTAACCACTGGACTGCCAGGGAAGTCCCTCTGTACATTTCATATAAATGGCCTGCATGTGTGTGCTGTTATGTCTGACTTGACATGCAGGATAATATTTTGAAATACATGGCATACAAAGCTTGCATGATATCCCTAACAAAGAGCTAACTTCCTTGAGGAATTAGGCTATCAACCAGATTATGACATCTGATGAAAGAAAAGTAATTTCAACCATAAAATTAAGCAATCTGACATGATAGACAATGGAAGGCTTGACTTGACATTCCACATGGATCAGAATACAAGGGCATATAAATGGAATCATAGACTGTGTTGCCCTTTGTGTCCAATTTCCTTCTCTGAGCATGTCTTCAGGGTTCACCAGGGTTGTGCCGACACTTGATTCTTCTGAATGGCTGAGCGACATTCCATTGCATGGCTGTGCTTCCTTGTGTTCAGTCATCTGTCTATGGACACCTGGGTGGTTTCCACTTTTTGTGAACAGTGCTGCTATGAACATTCGTGTACAAGTTTCTGTTTGACGTGTTTAAAAGAGTAAACGGTAAGTCCTACCTAGAAGAACAAAACACCAATTGCCCAAGAACAGGAAAGATCTGTGACCCAAATCTGGAGTTTTCCCTCATTCTCATCTCAGTAAGGACCAATGGTGTGATGCAGTTCTTGGGGAAACCAATGAATGAATACACTCATCAGAGCATCTTGTGCTCTGTTTGGACCACAGACCAGATGCACATTGGCTTTTTAATATTAGAGGTAGCAGTGATTGGAGAATAAGTCCCCCCTTACCAAAAGTACCAGCCTCTTCATGTCCTGGGATGGTCAGTCATGAGCATTGATGGATTATGAGTTCCACCATCAAGGTTCAGATCCTTGGGTTCAAATCCCAGTTCTGCTACTTCCTGGGGTTTCCCAGGTGGTGCTAATGGTAAAGAACATGTCTGCTAGTGCAGGAGACATGAAAGATGTGGGCTGTATCCCTGGGTAGGGAAGATGCCCTGGAGGAGGCAACCCACAGAGCAACCCACAGAGCAACCCACTCCAGTATTCCTGCCTGCAGAATCCCATGAACCCCTCCCATGGAGCAGCCTGGCAGGCTACAGTCTATAGGGTTGAAAAGAGTTGGACACGATGGAAACAAATTAGCATGCACGCTACTTCCTGACTGTATGGTCAGGTTTGTCACTTAACCTGTCCAACCCTACTGTCCACTCCTTATAATGAAAACCTCGTGGGTGGTTATTTCAGGGGGAATAAGATAATGTGGCTGAGTCCTCCAGCAGTATCTGCTATGTGGAAGATGCTCCACAGACATTTAAAAAAAAGTGTTTCTTCATTTGGCTGTGCTGGGTCTTGGTTGCTGCACTCAGGATCTTTGCTCTTCAATCTTCACTGTGACATGGGGACTCTTTAGCTGTTATTGTTCACTCCCTCAGTCACGTCTGACTCTGACCCCATGGACTGCAGCACGCCAGACTTCCCTGTCCTTCACCATCTCCCAGAGTTTGCTCAAACTCATGTCTTTCGAGTTGGTGATGCCATCCAACCATCTCATCATCCATCGCCCACTTCTTCTGCCTTCAACCTTTCCCAACATCAAGGTCTTTTCCAATGAGTCAACTCTTCGCATCAGGTGGCCAAAGTATTGGAGCTTCAGCTTCAACATCAGTCCTTCCAGTGAATATTCAGGACTGATTTCCTTTAGGATTGACTGGTTTGATCTCCTTGCAGTCCAAGGGATGCTCAAGAGTCTTCTCCAATACCACAGTTCAAAAGCATCAAAGCTCAGCCTTCTTCACAGTCCAACTCTCACATCCATACATGACTACTGGGAAAACCATAGCTTTGACTCTACAGACCTTTGTCGGTAAAGTAAGGTCCCTGCTTTTTAATACGCTGTCTAGG